CCCCTCTCCCTCTCTCTCTCCCTACAGATGAACCTCTCTCTCGCCCCCTCCACAATGATTCCCTCCCCAAAGAGTCCCGGCTTCAGGATGTTGCCCCCCTTTTCCCCCCCTCCCTCTCCAGGCCCCGCCCCTCCCTCTCCTGGCAACGCCCCTCCCGCCCCTGTTGCCACAGTAACCCCCACCAGCCCCATCGCCTCCTCCCCATTGGCTGAGGAGGAAGGCCCTGCCTCCTTTGAAGCCCCTCCCACTGCGGGGGACGGAGCCATCCTGTCCAACAGTAACATCAAGGTGAGTCAAATGCTGCGATTTCATTGGTCCACTGCATGGGGGGCGGAGTAACGATGAACCAATCAAACGGCATGATATTTTCATTTGATTTTGAATATTTATAATTGTAAATGCATATTGTATGATACATTTAGTTGTACATTTTGTTAAAAGTTTTAAATAATTTCGTTTTTTGGAGAAGGGTTGTGATTAAATGAGTATAAACTTCTTCCCTTTTCGGATGTGTAAATAAGATCATCTGTTTATACACCATTTGTAAGTCAATCATATTTTTGTTCATCAATTTGATACTGATACTTACATCTCAAAGCCCATACTTCTTTACTTCTACTTGAGTAAAGAAGTTTAGTCAGTACTTCTACTTTCACAGGAGTATTTTTAAACATGAGTATCTGTACTTCTACTTGAGTAAAGGACGTGTGTACTTCTACTTGAGTACAGGATGTGTGTACTTCTACTTGAGTACAGGATGTGTGTACTTAAGCGTCTCTGCTTGAACCTTAATAAACCTGATTCTGATTGGTTAGAGTCGAGCTCGTCACTCCATCCGGCGACGCCCCCCGTCTCGCCGTCATCGGACCTCCAGCACCGAGGAGGGGGTCAACACCGAGGGGGAGGAAAAAACACCTGGAGGGGGAGAAAAAGAGGAAGGAGGGGGAGGGGAAGATGTGTTCAGGAAAGACGGAGAAACTGACGCTGCAACATCACCTGAGAAACACGAAACCAACGAAGAAGAAGAAGAGGAGTCGAAGGTCAGTGTAGAGTCCAGAGAGGAAGAGAAGAAGAAGAAGGAGGAAGAGGAGGAAGAGGAGGGAGACTCCTCTTCATCAGGGAGGACGGGGGAGGAAGACAAACAGGAAGCAGCGACAAACACCGAGAGCACAGAAGAAGAAAAAAAGGTGATTCTGATTTAAACTATAAAACTTAAAATTTAAAAAATCTTACATTTGAGTTTTTATATGTTTTTTATTTCTGATTTGAACGTGCTCCTTGTTTACCTGTTAGTAAGGCCGTGTGTCGGGGCTACTTTACAGAGCCGGGGTTAAAGGGTCAGGACTTAAAGAAACTGCATTTTCTTTAAGATTTAAGTCGTAACTTTCCAGGAAAGATTTAAATAAATTCCGATGAAAGAAATCAAAAATCATCTGAGATTTCAAAGTTGAATTTTTTATGACAGAAAATGTAATTCAAGAAAAACAAATGAAAAAACTAGAATATGAATCAAAAGAATAAGTAATAATACATGTTTTATTAAAGCCACTAATTAGGGGAAAGATACCACAATGTTTCCCTCAGATAATAAAGTGTTATTTATTCACCGGAAGAAAGTAAAGATTCGTGCTAAAAAAAAGAATGAAACCAATAACGAACACTGACAGACGGACCGTGAGAGCGTCACCTCAACAGCTTCGTCTGAACTACTTTTAACGAGACATACAGAGGATGGAAATGAGACCTAAAGTTCCCAGAGAGATTTTATTTATTTTTTCATTTATTTAACAGGGACAGTGCACATTAATGAACATTTCTGTAAATGTGCCAGAGTTAGCCAAGAGGCTAATTTTCATCTGTAGTCCCTGTAGAGAGAGAGAGAGAGAAGATCCACTAAGAAGGGAGACAGGTAACAAAAGAGAGAGAGAGGTGATGCAAAGAGAATAACGAGAAAGAAAAGCAGTATTTCTGACCAAACTGAAAACACCTGACATTTTTCAGACCATTTTTGTTCTATAATTTGTAGTTTTTAGGATATTTGGAACATTCACAGTCTTTCATTGTATCACCACGTCTGTCTCTTTAGAGCAGGGGTGTCAAACTCAATTTCATCGCAGGCCACATTCGCATGAAGGTTGCACTCAAAGTTGTAACTTTATAAATATATAATATATATATAAAATAATGTATTATATTACATTATTGCCTCTGAATTGGATTATTATCGGATAGGATAATAACTTAGTAATTAACTACGTCTGAAAGCAGAAGTCCAGGGCAAATAAGTCTCTTCAGTGCGCATGTCACAAAACGAGATGCATTGTGGGACATGTAGTTTATGGGCAACCTGCTTCTGTAAATCAGCATGTAACCGTATATTAAACGTATTATATTCTTTGCAAGCTCTTGCGGGGCCACATAAAATGAAGTCGTGGGCCAGATTTGGCCCCCGGGCCTTGAGTTTGAGACCCCTGCTGTGTTGTTTATACTGAGTGTGACCTCCTGAATCTGAACAGCTTTACACAGAAACGTTGTCCGAGTGTTAATCAGATCGGAGGTTAATCAGAGCTTATTAACCCCGTACGCTCCCAGAGGAACGAGAGTTCACCAAAACTAACCCCTCAAAGTCAACATTTAGCGGGATAAAAAACTAGAATATTTTCTGAGATAAAGTCAATAAAATGAAACAAAATGTTATTATGAAGTAAAAATGTGCGTTTAAAAAAAGGATTAAAGTCAACATTTTAAGTTGTTAATATTTTTCTGAGATAAAATAAAATGAATCTATAATGAATAAAGTAGAAGTAAAATAAATGCTCTGATATTAAACTCAGTAATATACCAGAAACAAACAGTGATATTCTCTAAGATTATAAAGTAACACATCTGTTAGAATCAGCATGTTCTGTGAAGCTAAACCGTTGTCTTTGTCCTCAGGAGACGTCCAGTTCGTCCCGGTGAGGATCCAGAAGCTCTGCCCCTGGGGGGCGGGGAGGGAAACCCTGCAGTGGCGTTATAGGCCACGCCTCTCTGAGCGTGAAGCAGTGAAACTCTTATGTGTGTACGAGGAAACGCTGGTGCATTCTGGGAGTTTAACGGCTGCTTCAGAAACTCCTGGATCTGTTTTTACTAACCGTCTGTTTTATATCACTGTGATGCTTCCTCATGATGTTCGTAGTCTCTGTTCGTTAGTTTTGAGTTGTGCAACCAAATGTTAAAGTTTCATGATATTGAAATAACCCGAAGCCTCATTCCAAACATTCATAAAAACTACTTTTAAATAACCTTTTTAGTAAGAAGCAGGAAGCAGCTCTAAGATCTGTGTTTCCATCGTCACATTGTTCCTTTGAGTTTGAAACTGGAATTAAAAATGCATATTTTCTCTATGTTGAAGTTCATCGGCTCTTTATTGTGTTTCTGACATCGGCTCTTTTTAAGATCTGATTATGAGAAGTGACTTTAACCGTCAGGTAAACTCACCGGACTAAAACGCACAAAATACAGGTTCAGAACTCATGAGAAATGACCAAAGAAGATCGAAAAAATACAACAAAAAGACCTCAAAGTATTCCTGGATTTTCTACCGTTTAAAAGCTAGAGATCCACAGGGTTAACTGTATTTGTATGCTAACGCCAACACTAGCTCTGTCGTGTTAGATCCTCACAACAAAACAGAGAAATTGACAAAGTATTTTCTACCATTTTAAAGCCAAAGACCCACAAGGTTTTATTTCAGTCAGACAACTCACGTGTTTCTTTAACATGTTTATTAGAAGCAGCATATAGTTGAGTTTGGCGTCTAGGCTCGGGCCTCATCACTACACAGATATACATAGCACGATGAGTGATGATTAAATAACTAACCCCCCCCGAGCCTACAGGTGGAAGCTGGGGTGGTGGTGGGGCAGGCAAGCAGCAGCAACGTGGAAGTAGCTGCAGCAATAGCAGCAGCAAGCAAAGCATAGAGAGAGATCTGGCAGGTTAAATAGAGCGGCATATTAAGGAGACTCTGTTTGGTTGGTTGTAGAGTGGCAAGGGGCGTTATGTATGAATGCAGCAGAAGTGCTCGAGTTGACTGCCTGAACTAGATCGCAGGCTTCGCCCCATTCATGTTTCCGGTAATGCTAACGCTAGCTCCGTGACATTAGCTCTTCACAATAAACGAGACAAAAAGACCCCGAAGTATCTTGTTTTTGTAACTTTTTAAAGACTCAAGACTTCAAATATTTATCTTTTTTATGCTTAAACTAACCCTAGCTCTGTGGTGTTAAATCACAACAAAAAAACGAAATATCCAAAGAGCATTCCTGTATTTTAAACGCTAAAGACCGACAAGGTTTTACGTACTTTTTATGCTAATGCTACCCCTAGCTCTGTGATGTTTACTTTCCACAATAATAGAGACAAAATGACTTCCTGTATTTTATACCATATTGTTAGCGAAAGACCCACAAGCTTTATTTATGTTTATGCTAATACTAACACTATAGCTCCGTGATATTATCTCTTCACAATAAAACAGACAAATTGAATAGAAAAAACCCCAAAACACAAAGTATTCCTGTATTTTCTACCATTTAAAGTCTAGAGATCCACAGGGTTAATTATATTGTTATGCTAATGCTAACCCTAGCTCTGTGATGTTTACTTTCCACAATAACAGAGACAAAATGACGAAGTGTTCTTCATTTTTAGAACTTAAAGACCCACAAGTTTATTTGTGTGTTTATGCTAATGCTAGCTCTGTGACATTACATGTCACTTGTTAGACGCTTTTATCCAAAGCGACTTACATACTCAATACTGTGGGCAATCCCCACAGGATGATACGATGCGTGGAAAAGGTAGGACCCAAATGCAGGATTAAAAAGGATAAGCTGGTTTTAAGGGATAACAAAAAGCGAGCTTTATTACACAAAAAGCCGATGACAAAAGAAAACAAGAAACAAACTTAACATTACCAAAACAGGGGAGCACGAGTAAAGAATCCAGGATCAAAACTTCAGGGACAAACATGGAGCGTGACGTGAAGGGAAAGACAAACAATGAACCGACAGGGGAACACAGGGAAAGACAAGACTAAATACAGAGAGGGGTAATCACGGGACGAGAAACAGCTGGGTGAGGGAGGCAGAAACACAAGGGCAACAGGTGAACACAGTGGGTGTTTCTCAATCGCGAGTACGCTTGCTTGGTAGCACATGTCTGCCGAGCATCTTGCTTCAGAAGCGAGTCAAGAATACTTCCTGGCATTTGGAAAATAAAGAGTGGAACAGGCTAGCAAGTGTGCAGGTGTGCGTCATATGAGAGGCCCCGCCTTACATCTTCCGCCACAGATTTGGGGAAATTGGTCCGTGCGCAAAGCATTGTGGGGATTTTAAGACAGCGGAGTCTACTCATGTGCAGCCTCGATATTTCTCCAAACGGAGTACGCCGGGCTCGGTAGATTTCCAAGTATGCTGGAGATTGGAACAGTACTTCGGCGGCACTCGATGACGTAGTATGCTTGAAATAGTGGCTCTGCAGCAGCTTTACTCGCGATTGAGAAACACCCAGTGAGACAATCAGAGGCCGTTTCTCAATGTCGAGCATACCTGCTGCAGAGCCACTATTTCAAGTATACTACGTCATCGAGTGGCGCCGAAGGACTGTTTAAATGCATGTTAAATGCCCGGCATTCTGAAATTAAACAGCTTCGCGCCCGGTGATGACGACAGGGTTTTCCATGTTGGCAGGACTCTGCGTTAATCTGTGGAAACACGGAGAGGAAACCTGGCGTGCACTTTAAATCTGATTCTGATCATCTGTTTGATCCTCTCAATCACTGCGGAGATGAACCAGAACATGGCTCTAACTGGACATTTTTCCATGTAAAAGTAAAAGACTATCTTGATCGCACAGTCATTTCCACGTCCTGTCTCTGCACTGAGGGATTTCAAAATAAAGCCCCCGAATTAAACGCTAAATATACCTTGGCATCATTTAAGGTTTTCTCCAGTGAGATATTGGTCCAGAAGTTTCTCTAGATTGTAAGTACAGTCCTGTATCTTCTTAATCTTCAACATGGTCTGACACACTCACAAAGCAAGGGTTTTTCAAAATAAAGCGCAAGATAGTAATAATAATAATAATTCATTTATTTTATATAGGCTCTCAAGGTCGTTGTACAAACACATAAAAAACAAGATACACAATACATAACACCAGCATAAGAAACATAAACAAGACAATGCAGTATATAAATCAATCAAATAAAAAAAACAGAGGATGTGTGATGGATAATGATCAGGGTGGATATGCGAGTGTGAAGAGATGTGTTTTGAGACGTGATTTGAAAATGGGGAGAGAGTCAGTGTTGCGGATGTCAGGTGGGAGAGTGTTCCAGAGGCGGGGTGCAGAGCGGCTGAAGGCTCTAGACCCCATATCAGGGTTTCCACTAGGATTTTTTCTCGCCAGTCAAATGTCCGGACAGAATTTATTTTACCGGACAAATTTGAAACTTACCGGTCATGTTTCAATAATAATAATAAGAATTGTGTAGCAGAGTTTCCGTTAGCAGATAATTACCGGACTATGACCGGATATGCTGATGTTTAAACTCAGTTAATGGGAGTCATTTTTATATTGCTTCAGTTTATAATCGTAACAGATCGAAAAATTCAGATTCATTTTTCAATAAATGATGCGCTTCCACAAACAACAAACAACATCCATTATTACATTCAAACAAACTACTTGTAGTAGATAAAGTACATTATTCTAAAGTTTACATTAAAGGTGGGGTAGGTAAGTTTGAGAAACCGGCTCGAGATCGCTAGAATTTGAAAATACACAACCGGAAAAAATCTGCCACTTCCTTACAGAGCCCCTCCTCCAACACACACGAACGCGCACATGACCAATGAGGGCACGAGATAAGTTTGTGCACAGATGGAAGGCTGACAGGCAGGTAGGCCATCCAGTTATTTTAGCCGGCCGGCTAAAATGATTGGTCGTGCTTTTTACAGTACTACGGTTTCCACAGATGACATTTTTTTATGGATTTTTTGTCAAAGCACTTAAGATATTCATTGCTATCGGGATGTTAAGAGCATTCCATGGAATATAACAAAAAGTGTATCTCGAGCCGGTTTCTCAAACTTACCTACCCCACCTTTAACTTTGAATAATAACACGGGAGAAACGGATCCTCTCTTTTTCCCTCTCCCTCCCTCTCTCTCCTGACAGCCCGTCAGTTTCTCATGCGGCTTGCTAAACAGTGGGCGGGGCTTCAGGTGATCATGCAGCAGCTGATGTGATCTCTCTCTCGCGTCCGGTTACACTTCACTCGCGTTTATGTCCATATCGATCAGATCCAGCTCTCCTGATCGGCCTTTATAGAGAGCACCGATCAAACTATTAAGAGTGAATATCGGCCGATAATGATCGGCGGCCAATCGATCGGAGCATCCCTAATTATTACCGGACATTTTGACTGGCAGGTTTTGAATTTACCGGTTTTTAATACATTTTACCAGCTAAAAACCGGCTAACGGAAACCCTGCCCCATATATATGTCTTATATGTCAGGGAAGAGAGTTTTCGAAAAGTCTTCCAAAGTACAAAACAGTCAATTTTATAGAGAAACAGCAAATTCTTCAAAGCAAGAATTAGAATAATTTTATTTGTGCGGCAACGAGGGAATTAACAATTTCTCATAATGTACAAGTAGAGGTTTGTCTTAATTGGAGTTAATCCGAGAGAGCGAGTTTCCCCTCTGACATGGACTGACACGATTAGATAGCGAGGATTTTCGAAATAAAGCTTCTAGGTCCGGCAGTGTCTCAGTCAGTAGGGGCTTGGACTGTGGTTCGCCGGTTCAAGTCCCCGAACAGACCTAAATATGGAGTGTGGACTGCTACTTGGAGAGGTCCCATTTCACCTCCTGCCCTGCCGTGGTGCACAATAGCTGCCCACTTCTCCCAGTACTAGACTCCTGGTGCTAGACTCCTGGTACTAGACTCCTGGTCCTAGACTCCTGGTGCTAGACTCCTGGTACTAGACTCCTGGTACTAGACTCCTGGTGCTAGACTCCTAGTGCTAGACTCCTGGTACTAGACTCCTGGTTCTAGACTCCTGGTATTAGGATGGGTTAAATGCAGAGAACAAATGTCACTGTGTGTGACCATTAAAGAGGGTTTCATCCCTTATTCTATTATATTCTGCATTAAACTTGTCTGTCCTGGCAGGTTAAAGTTTCCCTGTCATTTTTAAATAGTTCGTAATTTTTCTTCTCACATGTAAAACGTTTTTAAGCTTCTTCTTTTTGCCCCTTTTGAAAATGAGAGAAACTCTTTGAGAATTTATTTTTTATTTATTTATTCATTTATACCTTGAACGGTTTTTTTATTTTGCTTCTCTTTGTTATAATTATAATTATTATAATTATTATTGTTTGTTTTATTTCTAACATTGACTAATAGAAACAAGTTGGACATGGACCGGCACGCCTATACAGCGAGTCAATATAAAGCTTCTGCATTCATTCAGAAGCTTTATTTTGAAAATCCTCATTGTGTAAGTATGTCAGTCCCCTGGGTCTGAACACTGTGATTGGCTTGTGGGAATAGAGGCGATGTGATAGGTTCAGCTGGGGAGGATCGCTGATTGGAGGGCTGAGCGTAGTGAGATGGATGACAGATATATTGACGGTCTTCCTGGTTGAACTTGTGCTGAGCTTCATTTATTAAACCAAATATAATGAGTATTTTTTGTAAGTGTCTTTTGATGCTGTACTTTTTACGAAAGTAAACATTTTAAATCAGGACTTTTACTTGAAGTGGAGTACTTTAAGACCTTAGTATTCGTACTTTTACCTAAGTAAATATCTGAGGACTTCTTCCAACAATTAAAGACAGGTGAACAGGGTCAAAAATAATATAACAGATATCACCATGAAACCCCCCCCCACTTCATCTCTGACATTAACACAATTAGTTATTATATTAAGTTTCCTGACATGTGAGGCGTTACCTTATTTAATATGAGCTCATTTGCATATTTTCCGTCACAGAAATGGCAGATTCTGGATTGTGAATGTTGGATTTCTCTCTTTGTATCCCTCCATAAATCCACAGTGTGAGTAAGGGGTTGCTGCAGAGGGTGAACTCTCGTTCCTCTGGGAGCGTACAGGGTTAATAATCACTGAGGGTTTCCCTGCGTGCTGAGCTCTGATTAACCTCCGATCTGATTAACACTCGGACAACGTTTCTGTGTAAAGCTGTTCAGATCCAGGAGGTCACACTCAGTATAAACCCCTGCTCTAAAGAGACAGGGTGGAGAGACGTGGTGATATAGGCAATGAAAGACTGTGAATGTTCCAAATATCCTAAAAACTACAAATTATAGAATAAAAATGGTCTGAAAAATGTCAGGTGTTTTCAATTTGGTCAGAAATACTGCTTTTCTTTCTCGTTATTCTCTTTGCATCACCTCTCTCTCTTTTGTTACCTGTCTCCCTTCTTAGTGGATCTTCTCTCTCTCTCTCTTGTTACCTGTCTCCCTTCTTAGTGGATCTTCTGCCTCTCTCTCTGGGAACTTTAGGTCTCATTTCCATCCTCTGTATGTCTTGTTAAAAGTAGTACAGACGAAGCTGTTGCAGATGTGTTGAGGTGACGCTCTCACGGTCCGTCTGTTCCCAGTGTTCATTATTGGTTTAAATGGTTTAACTGGATCACTGCCGGCGGCTCTGAGCCAATTAGAGAGCGGCATCTATACAGACATCTGAGCCCGGTCGACCCGACGCGTCAAGACAAATGATTAAGTAGAGAAAACTGGATTTGCTTTTTAATTTTGGGACTAAAGCTGAAGGTTTTGAGGTTATTTCAAAAGAATTCCTCCACCAGGAATCAGTCTCTCTAACGGTACAAAACTCAAACACAGCCATTGTTGGATCAACCCGAACCCTAAACTACAGTTATGTTTACAGGGGAAATATTCTCATTTGCAATATTTGTATTGGTATTCAGCCCCCCCCCCAAGTGAAATGAGTCTAGAACCATCACTGCTGGACAGCGTCCCAAATGACAGCTTTTCCCAGAATTCCTCACCACTAACAGAGGAGATGTTCCTCTTCATTGGACTTAATCAGATTTCAGTCAGAGGTGAATAAGACGCTTTCTCTCTGACCGGACTGACACACTTACACATCGAGGATTTTCAAAATAAAGCTTCAGCGGTAAATGCTAAGTGCGTCCTGGCAAGGCTCAAAGCTTTCCTGTAACGGCTTTACCGAGACGTCTCACCTCAAAACAAGTTCAAGATGGACATGGACCAACACTTATACACAAAGGGTTTTCAAAATAAAGCTTCAGAGGAGGACAGGACTGAAACCTCTCACTTACACAGCGAGGATTTTCAAAATAAAGCTCCTGAATTAAACGCTGAATATGTAATGTCTAACCCGAAACCAGCAACAATTTCTCAAATGTTTCCAGAAGTTTCTCTAAATTGTGATGAAGCAGAGTCCTGCTTCTTCTGCAGATTTGAGTGGACACAAAGCAAGGTTTTTCAGAATAAAGCTTCTGAATGAAACCCTAAAGGCTTTCTCAGGAGGAAATGTTCTCAAAAGACACATTTTTCAAGATTCTCTCACCATTAAATGAGAAGATGTTCCTGTTAATTGGACTAAAGCAGAGTCAGAGGTGTCAGTCACACAGCGAGGATCTTCAAAATAAAGCTTGTCACTGCACCACTCTATTATGATACTGCACTAACGTAGTATCCCTCTGTGGGACTAATAAAGGTATTCTGATTCTGATTCTGAACCTCTTGGTCTGCTGGAGGACAGGTGAGTCCGTTATGTAACCCCCAGTCAGGTAAAGCTTCTTGGCTCGGCCTCTGTCCAGAACACCGTGCGGCGGGGGGTGATCCCATTAGGGAGTTATTACAGGAGCCTCCTTGATTTCTGCTGCAGGATCTAAGAGGGTTAGAGAGTCCTGAGGTTTGCTCTGCAGACTCCTGCAGCTGCACTGGATTTACCACCAATTCTGTGTGTTTTTGGTGAATCGATCAGGCTTTTTTTGTTGTTCTTCAGACGCCCAGGTTTTTCTGAAACCTTCCCCCCTCCCCCAACTCCTGGGTCCCGGTGTCTTCGTCCTTTTCCCCCGCCGCGATGGGGAACCACGGCTCGAACCTGGACGATATCCTGGCGGAGGACATGCACCACTGGTACAACAAGTTCATGAAGGAGTCTCCGTCGGGTCTGATCACGCTGTTCGAGCTGAAGGCCATCCTGGGTCTGAAGGGCATGACGGAGAACGCCAACAGCTACGTGGACCAGGTCTTCCTCACCTTCGACATGGACGGGGTGCGTTCACAACACTCACAAAATCAAACGCTAGATATGTCGGGTTCAGATGTGGCAAAAGTACACACATCCTTTACTCAAGTAGAAGTACAGATACTCGTGTTTACAAATACTCTGGTAAAAGTAGAAGTACTGACTAAACTTCTTCACTCAAGTAGAAGTAAAGAGGGCTTTGAAATGTACTTCAGTAAAAAGTACCCATAACTAGCAGCTGTTTTAAAGAGTACCTGACCTCCCTTTATATGAATGGAACAATAATGTCATTGTTAGCTAATGAATGTTTCCATGCTGAACAACGGCAACATGACAACGTTTTCATTGGTCCCTCTTCTTTAGAGAAGACCAGGAAATGATGGATACACGGATCGTGTTCAAATCAATAGGCACGCAATGACTCTAAATAATAATGATCACGCCACCAAACACACATTCAAACTAAAGGAACCAGCCTGTTTGGAAAATGTAAGAAGTAGAAAGTACAGGTATTTGTGTTCAACATGTAAGAAGTAGAAAGTACAGGTATTTGTGTTCAACATGTAAGAAGTAGAAAGTACAGGTATTTGTGTTCAAAATGTAAGAAGTAGAAAGTACAGGTATTTGTGTTCAAAATGTAAGAAGTAGAAAGTACAGGTATTTGGGTTCAAAATGTAAGAAGTCAAAGTTAAAAGTCGTCAGAAAAATAAGAAGTGTAGTAAAGTACTGATACCAGAAAAATGTACTTAAGTACAGTAACAAAGTATTTGTACTCCACTACTTCCCACCTCTGGTCGGGTTATGATGTGAGCTCTCGCTAGTAGTGAGATATGGTTTCTCTAAACCGAACTTAAGTCCTGTATCTGCTTCACCTGGCAGGTAAAATGGTCAAAGCTTTCCTGTAATGTTAAATACTTTTATACATAATGGGTTTTCACAAAGTTTCTATCCATAAAATAAGTTTTCAAGTTCTTCTAAATTACTCCAACATTGCAATGATTTTGTCTTGAGGAGGTAGGAAGTCTAAACTCTAACTAAACGCTAGATATGTCGGGTTATGATGCGAGTTCTCTCCAGGGAGATATGGTTTCTCTAAATTGTACTAACGTTCTGTATCTGCTTCACCTTCCACATGGATGGGGTGCGTTAAAAAGTTTTCTCCAGTGACATATTTCCAGAAGTGTTCCTAAATCAAACTGAGGTAGAGTCCTGCATCTGCTTCCCTTTAGACAGGGTGCTTTCACACACTCACACTGCAGGGGGCTTCAGAATCAAACGCTAGATATGTTGGGTTATGAGTTGAGTTCTCTCTAGATATAGTTTCTCTAAACCGTACTTAAGTCCTGTATCTGCTTCACCTTGCACATGGTGCGTTCACACAAAATCAAACCCTAGATATGTGATGGAAGTTCTATCCAGTGACATATTTCCAGAAGTGTTTCTAAATCAAACTGAGGTAGAGTCCTGTATCTTCTGCACCTTCAACATGGGTCACAAAGCCAGGGTTTTCAAAATAAAGCTTCTTTCTTTTGAGGTAAGAACGTTTTATAAAACTGGAATTTTTCCCCAGAATATCTCACCAGATAAAAGTAAAAGTCTATCTTAAAGTCCTGTTTCTGTACTAACACATACACAGTGAGGGATTTTCAAATAAAGCCCCCAAATTAAACGCTAAGTATACCTTGGCATCATTCAAGTTTTCTCCGGTGAGATATTGTTAGATATTCCTCTGACAGGAATCTGATTTAGTCCAATGAAGACAAACGTGTTCTTGTTTTATAGTAAGACAATATGGAAAAATATGGAATTTGAGAAAAAAATTTCCTCCAGACAAGACATTTAGCTTTATTTTGAAAACCTGGCTGTGTCGGTGTTAGCGCTCCATCTTTACGGTGTAGAGACACAGGACTCTGCCCAAGTACAACTTAGAGAAACTTGTGGAAACATTTGAGACATTTTTGCTGCTTTTTCACAAGAAAAACATATTGAAAGTTGAAATGCTAAGTGTGTCCTGGCAGGTAAAAGGGTCAAAGCTTTTCCTGTTAAAATACTTCCATACATGTGTATCATACATGTCCTCCTGTAGTAAACACACTCTACAGTACGTTTGTTCTTGTCTTGAAATGGTAGGAAGTCGACGTTCAAGATAAGCATTCATTTTCCTTTTGTTAAAAGTAAAATATAAAGAAGCTCATTTGGATTTCAATGCATACTAAACCAAACAAAAATGAAGGCAGCAGGTTGGAGTGGCATGACTGATTTTAAGTTTATGTGATATTGTTTAATATTTCCATGGAGGAAATACAGGTTTAAATAAATTAAATATCTGGAGAAAAAAAAGATATTTCAAAAAAAGTCTTGATAATGTCGACAAGTTTTAATACTTAATGGAAAAAAGTCTTTAAAGTTTGGAGGAAAGGTTTGGATTCATACATGTCGTTCACACTACAGGTGAATAGGGTAAAACAATATAACTAACAGGTATCACTATGACACCCCCCCCACTTCATTACTGACATGAACACAGTTATTTTTTATATAACAAGTTCTCTTACAGGTTATGTTTAAATACGCGGATGAGGCGATGCTAATGCTAATAGGAGAAATCTGCAAAAAAAACGAACAGACAAAGTTGGTAAAAGTAAACTCTGGGTGTGGATTTTAAGTGTAAAGTATCCTTGAAGCCTTTAATGGAAAGTCAGAGAAGCTCCATCTGCTGTGTTTTGTTTACAGTGTGGAGGAATATTACATGACATGTCATTTGTTAGACGCTTTTATCCAAAGCGACTTACATACATTCAGTACTGTGGACAATCCCCACAGTGCTGAGGTGAAGTGTCTTGCCCAGGGACACAATGACATGCTGACTGCAGTGGGACTCAAACTTGCTACCCCCTGATTCAAAGTCCAGCACACTATCCACTGAGGCACAGCCGCCCTATATTAAAAGTGTGTAAACTAGTTTCTCTATAAAACCTGAAATTGAATATGGATATAAACATACAGATATATTGTAAATATATAAAGGTGTAGGTTTGGTTCCAGAAGTTAGTTTTTTATTTATATGTGAATTTACGCACATTTGAGATTTTGGGAGGACTTTTTGTCCGGTCCCCATATTGTATAAAGCCATGTATGAGTGTAAATAGACCATTTCATTTTAAAGTCCAGTTAAGATAAAAAGGATAAAGGTTGGGTTACAGCATTTAATTGTGAGGGTTAAGATTAGAATAAAGGGGCTATGGAAGGCATGTTATTCCTTTAAGGGGCCTCACATGTGGGGAAAAACAAACATGTGTGTTTGGGTGTTTATAAATCAAAAAGACAAATGAAGGTCCGAATTTAAATATTGTAGATATTTGCCAAAAAACGTAGGGAATTCTATTTTTAGTTACAGGGACAAAAGGCGTGAACATGTTATTTTTAAATAGATAAATAACCCTCAGTTTGACCGTAGGACCAGAGTGAATTTGACCAAAGATCTCCTGCAGAGATCAGAGTTCAAGTCAGATGTGTGAATGAGGACAAAGATGGCCGTTGCAGCACTTTCATTGGCTCTCTGTCTGAGTGGATTACAGCGAGAGCAGAGACATGATCCTCGTTCAATGACAGATAAGAGGATTAAGATCAGATCGGTGACGTTCAAGGAGGACGATCGGGGACTACCAGGCTCTCAGACGCTATAGAAATCTAGCAGAAAATGCTCCTACTTCTCTCTCTCTTTATTACCTCAGATTGTAGAGAAGTCTATGAGGAAATGTTCCTACTTCTCTCTCCAAACTACGGTCCGGGGGCCAAATGCGGCCCGCGGACCATTTTGAATCGGCCCTCACTCAGCAAATAAAAAAAGTATAATGAGTTAAGCATAATAAACTTCTGCTTGTCTTATATTGTACTTCTTAAATATATATGTTCAAATATATTACACAGTATTCATGTGTTAATAAGAGCCCAATTTTCAAATACATTCAGTCAATTAAAGTTGAAAACATGTTCTAGCAAATCTAAGTTGATAAGAAAAAAGCCCAAAAACACATTCACATATCAAGCTTGAAATACACCCTTCATATTTCCTCTTATTATCAGCGATCTGAAGTTTCTGTTTTAAGGAATGAGCTGCTGACAAAATAAAGTAAACCCTCTGGAGAGCTGTGAGCTGTTTGTTTCTTAAAGCATTTTCAAGTATCAAGAATAATGTACCTACATAGTATTTTTCCAACTCATAACAGAACTTAAGAGGCCCTCTAATGAGCGGCCCTGACCTTCGTATATTTTGTATGTCACTGAAAAAGGTTTGGACCCCCCTGGCCTACACATTAAACATAATAATCTAATTGAATCCGAACGTTGTTGTTTTTCCTCTCCTCCTTCAGGACGGCTACATCGACTTCGTGGAATATATCGCAGCCGTGAGTCTGATGCTGAAGGGAGAAATCAACCAGAAGCTGAAGTGGTATTTCAAACTGTTCGATCAGGACGGGAACGGGAAGATTGACAAAGGCGAGCTGGAGACCATCTTCACGGTAACAACACAAACATTATAAAACTGAGGGGAAACTAGAATATATCTCAAATGTGGAATCGTGTCGGTATCATTCATAGTGACTCATCGTTAACTGGGATAAGATTAGATGTACTTTATTGATATTGGAAATGTTTGCATTGCAGCAGCATAATAAACAAGGCATGGCACATAAGTAGAAATTAAAAGAGTAGAAATAAACAATTCTAAAATGTAAACATCTCAAAATAGAAATAGAACAGCAATAAGAAGTTGAAAATATACAAGTTGACCATGAAGATAAAAAATCTATAAACTCTCTGGGCCAATTTTCAGTTAACACAACATAAAGCAGAATATTATTTAGATTAAATGTGTAAGGACATATAAACATGCAGAAATCCACTTAGAAAATCGGGGAATTACGGTACGTCCACACGGCAGCGTGCGTTGAAGCTTGCTGGTGGGCGTGTCTGGAGCGCGACCAACAACCAATCACATTAATCTCCCGCCCCGGACACACAAGCACTCGGTTTGATTGGCTAGAGCTTGTACTGGCATATGATTTGATTGGCTGGTGCTTCCGTTGACGCTTGAAAAGTTGAACTTTTCTCAACTTTCGAAGCGAGCAACGGAGGCAAAGCGACGGAACCACAATGCAGTTCGGCAAAGCTTGACGTCACCCCATTCGTGTGGACGTACCGTTACAGAGCGTGTTTTAGAGTTTTCTTCAGTGTCAAAGTAAAAATATTTAGTCTTTATCAAAGATTTTTTCTTCCAAATATTCTACTCTTTATGAAAAAACGTTGACTTTTTTTTCCTGAAAATATTCTACTTTTTCCTTTAAAAATTTTTTTCTCAATATATTTTGACTTTTCAAAAATTCCATAAAACGCAGCCCTGTGTGTGATGACTACTTCCATTCTTGCAAGGATAATAAATACATGTATCCTGATATTGAAGACCAAGCCGGTGACGACTGATATTTTTCTAACAATAGTCAAAGTCAGAACTAAAAATCTTCCAACTTTTTCTTAAACAAATCTGCATATGTCTTTCTTGAAAGACTCAAAAATCTCCCAACTTTGTCTCAATAAATTAAATTCTCAGTTTTTCCCCAGATAAATGTGAGAACAGAAGTGTGAAGCACAGGTTAAATGTCTCCTCAGGAAACCCTTCTTACTTTCTGTAACTTGACCTACAAACCTGAAAAGACGGATGAGCTGCTGACCGCGGGATTAGCTCTGAAATTAGCCGTGTGCTAATCTGAGCTAATCAGCCGACAGGCAGTGGAACAAAAAGTCCCGAGCCGACGTCAAACCAGTGATCAGATTTCAGAGAAAGGGCGTTTAATCCTCTGCTGCCGGGACGTTTATACACAGTAAAACAGACTTTAAAGAGTAACCTGCTAAATAAATTGTTTTAAATGATTATTTAAACCTGTGTCTATGGGAATCTATAATATAAATACATTATTATTATTATTGAGAAGAAGCACTAACTTAAAATCCTAAAACAAAAACGCTTAAATGCAAAAATGTGTATTAGAAGTTGAAATCGTAATACATTTATTATTGTCATTTCATTATTTATTTTAAATGTATGACTTTTATATTTACATTATATTTCGTCGACAAAATATTTATCCTTTTTTGGTTTATTTTTATTTTGTGTTATGTTTTTTGACATTGTGTTTTATTTTAGAAAATTTCACAATTCAAATGTTTTAAACACAAAAAATAAATAACAATTTATTTGCTATTTTCCCTTAATTAATTGCTATTTAATTATTCGCAGTCCCTTTAAGCCCAATGTTTGATTACAGATTGCTCTCATCTTTTGAATTTCATACAATAGTTTAAGTAGAAAGACTTCCTGTTTCTGTGGTTTTACCTGAGTCACAGTTTGAGTGTCGCCCCCTGCAGGCGATACAGGACATCACACGGAACAGAGAGACGAGTCCCGAGGACATCGTGTCGATCATCTTCGAGAGGATCGACGTCAACGGAGAAGGTAAAAAAAGAGACAAGATAAAACGTATTTATTCTTTAATCAGGTGCTCACTAAACCCCAGAAAGTGGTTGCTAGTTCTTTTGAAATAAGCCAGCACTATTAGTTTTAAAACCCTGAAATTAGTCAGCGTTATGAGTCCTCAATCCCTGATATGAGTCAGCGTTATGAGTCCTCAATCCCTGATATGAGTCAGTGTTATGAGTCCTCAATCCCTGATATGAGTCAGTGTTATGAGTCCTCAATCCCTGATATGAGTCAGTGTTATGAGTCCTCAATCCCTGATATGAGTCAGTGTTATGAATCCTAAACCCTGATATGAGTCAGTGTTATGAGTCCTAAACCCTGAAATGAGTCAGCATTATGAGTCCTAAAACTCTGAAATGAGTCAGCATTATGAGTCCTAAAACCCTGAAATGAGTCAGCGTTCTGAGTCCCTGAAATGAGTCAGCGAGGTTCTAGAGTCCCTGAAATGAGTCAGCATTATGAGTCCTAAAAGCCCTAGAATGAGTCAGCATCATGAGTCCTCAATCCTTGATATGAGTCAGCGTTATGAGTCCTCAATCCTTGATATGAGTCAGTGTTATGAGTCCTAAAACCCTGATATGAGTCAGCATTATGAGTCCTAAAACCCTGAAATGAGTCAGCATTATGAGTCCTAAAACCCTGAAATGAGTCAGTGTTATGAGTCCTAAAACCCTGAAATGAGTCAGCATTATGAGTCCTAAATCCCTGATATAAATCAGCGTTATGAGTCCTCAATCCCTGATATGAGTCAGTGTTATGAGTCCTAAACCCTGATATGAGTCAGTGTTATGAGTTCTAAAACCCTGAAATTAGTCAGCGTTATGAGTCCTAAATCCATGATATAAGTCAGCGTTATGAGTCCTAAAACCCTGAAATTAGTTAGCATTATGAGAACCAAAACTCTGACATGACTCAGCATCATGAGTCCCTGAAATGAGTCAGCATTATGAGTCCTAAAACTCTGGAATTAGTTAACGTTATGAGTCCTAAAACCCTGAAATGAGTCAGCATTATGAGTCCTAAAACCCTGAAATGAGTCAGCGTTATGAGTCCTAAAACCCTGAAATGAGTCAGCATTATGAGTCCTAAAACCCTGAAATGAGTCAGCGTTATGAGTCCCTGAAATGAGTCAGCATTAAGAGTCCTAAACCCTGAAATGAGTCAGCGTTTTGATGTCTTCTTCACTCTACCCCTCACCTGTCTCCTCCTCAGGTGAGCTGACCCTGGAGGAGTTCATCGAGGGAGCCAAAGACCACGAGGACATCATGGACATCCTGCGGGAGCTGATGGATCTGACGCCGGTGCTCGTCATCATCGTGGAGGGCCGGACGGGCTGAGGGCCACAAACACTGAGCAACACAAGCTTTAACAAAGAACTGAACTAAACCCTCTCGCCCCTTTCAAAATAAGAGAAAAGACTTACTCCTGATGATCGGTGGTCAGAGCGAGGCAGCGGGAAATCCAACAGACACGGAAATGTAAAGCTTTGGGAAGGATTGGACGTCCAGGTGCTCGTCTCCCGGGATGACGGAAGAAACATTCACCTTTGAAGAAGACTTTGAACACCCTCACAAATCATGATATTCAACAACCAGAGAACTTTATTTTGAAATACAATCAGGATTCCAGTTTCCAAAAGACGTTTTTGGTGCCAACTTAATTTGAAATTAGACCAAAAGATGTCATTCAATACTTTAAAGTTAAATTCTCTCCAATTTAAACTCTTCTTCGCTCAGTTAGTTCCAGACTGCATTCAACATTTTGCCAATTTTAGATTTAATTTAGAAAGACTTTTATACAGCTGGTTGTGTTTTGGCGTTTTTTTGGGGGGGGGGGTTTTGGCGGTAAAACGTTCTCAAATTTTCGTCTCAAACTTCCAATCTTCTTCCGGCAGTATCATTGAACATTTTATATTTAGCCTGAATTCTCGGGGAGATGAAGCTCAAATCAAATCATGTCGAATATTTCGTCTTTTTCTGGAATAATGCAACCGTGAAGTCTCTGGTTGGAATATTTAGCTCTAAAAAATAAGTAAATTATATTCAGTATTCAGTACAACCAGTTTCACATGCAACTAATTATTTCCATCCTGAATTCGTCTGTTAATGAGCTGGTTAATTGCAAATTAACCATCATTACATTTTCAAAAGGAAGAAAATAGAGAAGAAGACATCTTTAAAAGTCTTGTTTAAGCAAAAACGATATAATTTTTCTGCTTTCCTTTTAATCTCCATTTGATGCATTCTTTGAACACTTTGTTCCACATCTCTGTTAACACTGTGAAAGTCCCCCTATGTGCTGCAGTGCATGCTAGGAGTTCTGCAGGGAGCTGATCCTCTTAATGCATTAAAGGGTTGAGCATCCTGAGCCGTAATGGATCAGATTTACAGCTTCACCGTGACCCCGGGGGTTAAGGACAACCGGGAGGAAACGTCAGAAGAGCTGTGGCTCGACTTCTGAATACACACAGGACTTTATCTTGAACTTCAGAGATCATTTGATACCGATTTTGTGTCCAGGAACGTTTCTCCGATTGAAGACCTTTGCATTTTTCTTTGGTCAGTTAGAGCCGACTCAAAATCTTGCAGATTTTCGATGGCAATTTATTTGGTAGTCTTTGTACAACTGTGTGTTTGGACTGGTCTCTGTTTGGTGGTAAAACACGTTCCTATCCCTCAAAGTAACTCTGCTTTCTACTCTTGGGTTTTCTCTCGGATGACGCAGCAGAATAATCCTCATTAACCTGCTGCGTCATCTCCTCTGAGTCCAGGCTGACCCGGGCCAAATGAGGCCGACCCGGGCCAAAGGAGGCGGAAGTAGTGAAGCAAGTCAAGGTGAATAACCAACCAGTAATAGAGAAGCTTGACTTTACTACGATCAGATCAAAAAATAAGGAACAAATGGTACAAACGGGAAGTTTGCATGGGTAGAAATATCCACCCGTCACAAAGCCATCAGGACTTTATTTTGAAATATCTTTTAGGGATTTCCAGTTTCCAAAGAAGTTTTTGGTACTAACTTAATACGAAAGTGGACCAAAGGTTGTCATTCAATACTTTTATAGTTCAATTATCTCCAATTGAAACTCCTCTTCGCTTATTCTTTGATCAGTTAGTACCAGACCGCGTTCAAAATCTTGCCAATTTTTGAGTTTATCTAGAAAGATTTTTATACGACTGGTTGTGTTTTTTTTTGTTTTTGTTAGACCTTTGGCGGTAAAACCTTCTCAAAGTCTCAGTCTCTTGTACCGTCATCCGGCAGAATTATTGAAGTAATAGAGATGGTATACAAGAAGGAAGTAACAATATCCCTCAGTCCCGATGTGGTTTCATCAGACATCGGGGTCTTGAAAGGGATCGCAGGGGTCAACCCTTGTTTAAACATTTTGCTTTCCTCGGGATATCCAACAATCCTCCTAACACAACATGACATGAGAGCGTTGTAAATGGCACTTCTGTTCATCCCCGACCACCAACAGTTCTCGAGACATTTTGCATTGTAGGACTGAACATTCACAAACTTTGTCCCAGTCTGTACGACATCCAGGACATCCAGGACATCCAGGACAGACTGAATGCTTGCAAACTGAATGGACATTTTGTCTCGTTTCAGCTTTCACTGCTAGTATGGTGAGCGGTTCTGAATAAAGACTGAACACAAGACTTACGGTGCGTCTACACAGCAGCGTTAAAAAAATCTTGAAACGCTTCTGCCCATTCACTTTGAATGGGGTGACGTCACTTTCCCTCACTTTTCGCCGAAATGCATTGTGGGCAGGCGAGCGGAGATTTTGAGGATTTTGAGGATTCAAAGTTGAACAATGTTCAACTTTTGAGGCTGAGGTGGAAGCGTCAGCCAATCAAATCCCGTGTACGCAAATCTGACAGTTCAAGCTCTAGCCAATCAAACGGCGTGTATGCTGGGAGAGACATACCGCAGGTCATTTCCTCATATTCCAAAAAATGGAGGAGAAATTAGCGGTAGCGAATCAATCACCCGGTGCTTTATGACCAGACCTACCGGGATATAAACCGGAGGAGCCAGGCATGGAGGGAGGTGGCAGAGACAGTGGTATGTTTTCGCCTGTTTTGGGGAGTTTATATCCAGTTTACTTCGGGCTTTTTTGCTTCGTATGTCGCGGGCGAGAGATTCATGTGATTGGTTGCTCGCAAAAAATCCTCAAGCTTCAGATACGCCCACCTCCAAGATTTTTTTTAATGCTGCTGTGTAGACGTACCGTTAGTGCAAACAGGAGATGTTTACAGACCAAACATGCAGGTAAAGTCATAGTCAAGTACTTTATCTAGATGCTGCTGATAATACTTACATACTTAGTTAAGTCAGGTTTTGATCACGGTGTAAAATGTTAAAAAGAATACGGAGCCAAGGGAGGGGGACAATATAACGAGGAAGATATTGGAGTCTCTGAGATTGAAAAAGGTAAATGAATAGGATGTTCTCTGAGACTTTAAACTCATTCATTGGTGAGAACATCTCTGAGATTGGTGTGAAATGATCCAACCTTGCAATGTGTGTTTTCTTGGAAATGAACCACTTTAATCTAAGTAAAAGTCTTGTAAATGTAGGTTTTTATTCTGAGTATTCCCGCCCGGCCCCGGCTCCGTAAATACTACAAATACGCCGCTGTAGTTTTTGAATGAAGGACTGTTACTTGTTTTAGCAGACAGAGAATCATCAGAGCTTTTCTTTTTGAATGCACTTTTCTATGTTGTTGTCCTCAGAGACACTAAAGCTGTCCAACAGGTGCAGATACTTGTACATATAGAGGTTTACTGTATCTCAAGTACAATGACTTGAGTAGAGGTACTTGTACTTTACTATGTCCGGCTACTTTCTACTTGATCTCAGTGGGAGATATTGAACTTTTAACTGCACTACATTGATTTAAGTTGAAGTTACTTTCCAAATGAGCTTTTGAATCCCCTTCCTGCCCCGGGGGAACCGCTCTCTCCAGATGTGTTCATGTTCGAACGGACTGTAATCTTTTAAAACGACCAAAGAGATCTCACTCTTCTTGAAATTACATTTGGATGCATTTTTATTTTGAAGATGTATTTGTCGTTAGCTTTGTGCGACTGGTCTCTTATTTTGAAGTTCTAAAAAGGAAGCGGCTGAATGGATTGTAAACATTTATATTTTTTTATACGATGACGAGTGAGACAAGATCATGAGGACGTTTGGACGTGTTTGTTTAGGTAAAGCTGATTACAGTTCGAGGTGAGGAAGAGGAGGAGGAGGCCATGTTGTCCTTAAAGCTGCTAACAGGTAGTCGTACGGTTAGCATCGATGCTAACAGCTCTTATCGTGCAATAGAGAGGTCACAGAGAAACAAGTCTCTAAGTTCAATTGACCCAAATCATGTTTTGTGTTGCCTTATCAATAAAGTTTTTAAAGAAAATGTGAGTTATTTTTATTTACACTTCAATGGGTTCACTTGCTCTTGGAATTCAATCATTCCTCATGGTTTGAGTGCAGTTTTGACTTATCTCTCACGTCTCTCACCTCACCTGTCTCTCTCACCTGTCTCTCACCTGTTTCTCACCTGTCTCTCACCTGTTTCTCTCACCTGTTTCTCTCACCTGTTTCTCTCACCTGTTTCTCACCTGTCTCTCACCTGTTTCTCTCACCTGTTTCTCTCACCTGTCTCTCACCTGTCTCTCTCACCTGTTTCTCACCTGTCTCTCACCTGTTTCTCACCTCAGTCTCTCACCTGCCACTCTCACCTGTTTCTCACCTCAGTCTCTCACCTGCCACTCTCACCTGTCTCTCACCTCACCTGTCTCTCACCTCAGTCTCTCACCTGTTTCTCACCTCAGTCTCTCACCTGTCTCTCACCTGTCTCACAGTGTCTCACCTGTCTCTCACCTGTCTCTCACTTCAGTCTCTCACCTCAGTCTCTCACCTCAGTCTCTCACCTCAGTCTCTCACCTCAGTCTCTCACCTCAGTCTCTCACCTGTCTCTCACCTCAGTCTCTCACCTCAGTCTCTCACCTGTCTCTCACCTCAGTCTCTCACCTCAGTCTCTCACCTCAGTCTCTCACCTCAGTCTCTCACCTGTCTCTCTCACCTGTCTGGAGAAAATCAGCATTTGAGGAAGTATTTAGAGGTAAAAATAAATCTACAAAATAAAATAAAAACTCAAACAATTACTCGTAATTTTTCTAAATAAAAAACGAATAATACTTAAAAGAATAACAAATTGTTTAGAAATAAAAAGGAAATTACCAGAACTAATTGACTAACTATGAGAATGAACAAACATACAAAACAATAATAAATATTCTAGAAAAAATATCAATAATAAAAAAACATCTAAATATTTACTAGAAAATATAGAAGAAAAAAATAAAGAAATCACTAAGAAAAAAATCCAAAATGATTATTATGATTACCTCTGAGATATAGTGACATTTAAATATCAAGTATTATAAATTAGAAGTACACAAGTAAAGTACCTTTATTGTGTACTTTAATACAGTACTTTTCCCAGGAATAGTTTCCATAGTTCCTGTTCTGTTCTTAGTTCATGAGAACCTTTTCTGATTGGCTGGGCGGATTGCAAACCACGCCCCGTAAAACTCAGAAAGGTTTTGTGAAGCCGCCATTTTATTTGCTCGCATTAGCATTATTAGCATTAGCATTAGCCCAGCGCACAAACGCAGAGAGACTAACTTATGGCAACACAAAATAAAACATGGGAGTGGTGGAGATGAGGAGGTGTCGGCGTTCTGGCGATTTACTCTGAAGGCTTCAGTAGAAGCTGCTGGGAGTCCCAGCAGCTTCTACTGAAGCCAGTCCCCAACTCCGGGGACTTCCGGCCGGGGACTCCAGGTGGCAGTATACGCCGTGAAGTTGTTTGCAGCCTGCCAGTAAACCCAAAGCAGAAGAAGAAGAAGTGACGTCAGCGGCTTCATTTGCCTAACCCTCCCTCAGGGACTTATTCCGGTGGGAACGCGATCTGCTAGGACAGTTCCAGGGACTAAAGAGTTCGGGGGGAACAAGTACCGGGAACAAGTACCGGCTAAATACTTGGTGTGAAAGCGGCTCTTGAGTAAAGGTACTTGGTAATGTTCCAGAAGATGAAGATGTGACAATAAATATAAAAACAAATGATAAATTAATCAAAGTTTTTATTGAAAATGTAGAAAAAGAAGCTTTAACGTCTCTCAGGTGATTTGGTCTGTCTGTTTTATAGATTCAGGTTTCCACAAAACAATGATAATCCATACAGGCTAGAGTGTATCCCAGCATGCATTGTGTTACAGAGGTTGCACCCGACCCTAAACTGCAATTCATCATCTTCGTTTTTAAAGACAAGCCTTTATCTTGTAAATCCTTCCAACAACAGGAGGTCTATTTTGGATATAAAACCAGATCTTTCTCCGTAGAGTCGATATCAGTAGCTTGTGATTCTCCTGCCTCAGGTCCCCCATATACATCCCTTCCCTCAATTTCATTATTTGATCAGTTAGAACCAGACTGCATTCACAATCTTGCTAATTTTAGATTTAATTAAGAAAGACTTTATACAACTTTTTTTGTTTTGGCGTTTTGGGTTTTTTGTTAGACCGTTGGCGGTGAAACGTTCTCAAAGTCTCAGTCTCTAGTACCGGCATCATTGAAGTAATAGAGATGGTATACAAGAAGGGCCGTTTGCATGAGTAACCATATCCCTCCGTCCCGATGTGGTTTCATCAGACATTGGCGTCTGGAAAGGGATCGCATAATCTTCCGGGTCAACCCTCGTTTAAACATTTTGCTTTCCTCGGGATATCCCACAACCCTCCTCACACAACATGAAATGAGAGCGTGTAAATGGCTCTTCTGTTCATCAGACCAAGGAGGGCTGGTTGCACGGGGAGAGAGGGGGAGAGAGGGGGAGTAAATAGGGAGTAAAAACTAACGATGTTGGCTCCTGGTCGTCAGGTCCACTGTGATTGGTCCATAATACACGGTCGAGGAAAGAGGAAATGGCAGAGTGTGTGTTTTTGTCGGGGGGGAGGGTCTAAGCTGTGTCTCTCAGGGCTGTTTCGGCCTCTCCGCCCCCCTCAACATGCTGCAGTACAGACGCAGGAAGCAGTAAATGATGCCCAGCGAGCAGTACAGGGAGGTGGCCAGCAGGGGGAGGAAGGGCAGCCTCGCCCCCCATGGAGAGAGAGGGAACAGGACGTCACAGCAGAGAGAGAGGAGGAGCAGCCCCACCAGGTACAGGGTCTCCGGGGGCAGCAGCAGGGGCCCCCTGGGGAGAGAGAGTGATATGATTATTTTATTTATTAAAAAAAAAATCTCTAATTAAATGTCAGCTTTATTATGAGTAACACGTATTTAAGTACTTAAAGTGGTAAATTATTTAAAATAAAACACATGTTAACAGTTATTGTTGGATTTTACAAAGTCAGAAAATAATTATTAATAAAACATTTAAATAAATAAATATTAATATGCATTTTTTTTGCATTTTAGGATTTTTTAAGGATCATGGGAACCCTTATTGTCATGAGTCTACATCAAAAAGAATATATTTATATATTTTTAATTTTTTTGACTGACAAAAAAAGACATTTGAAGACATGGAGAAAGTGGGATGCTTTGAGTACCTGTGCAGGTGTCTCAGAGCGCTGAAGGAGTACAGGGTGAACATCAGCATCAGCAGCACTTTGATGGGCAGCTCTGCAGAAACACATGTTCATTATAATCAATCAATTCATTCATTAACCCCCCCCCCCCCCCTCCTCCAAATAGAGTCCTTCGTTTATCAATAAGTATTTTGTTGGGAAAATCCTGAATGTCCTCTTCCAATGTGAGAGTAACATGATAACAAAGGTATCCCAACTGTAGCTGTGTGCATGACAGGATGTATGATTACCTAGAAGAGCATCAGGACTGTTTGAGGCATATGATAGCTATGTGATTAACATGATGATTCAGCCTCTATGGAGATAGACATATGACAAGCATGATCATTTCTGACGTGGAGCTAATCTGAAGTAAACATTGAATACTGCTTTCTATTCCTCCATCTTGTGACTGTGTAACTCCCTCTCTTGGATATCAGCATGTGAAGGACACTGTTCAGGAACTAGTTGATGCTCTGTGTGTGATGACTACTTCCATTCTGGAGAGGATCACAAATACATGGATCCTGATGTTGAAGCTCAAGCCGGGGGCCAGGGAGAGTTTTCTAACAGATGAAGACATGTGATTGAGTAATTCTCCCCCATCCACTGAACATCCCTCGTCTGATTGGCTGGGACATCTGACAGGTGTGTCGCTGTGTTTACCTGCGCAGGTGAAGAGCAGCGGGAACAGAGAGTAATGACCCGTGGTGGACAGCAGCAGGAATATCCCAGCATCCTCTCTGTTCTGCACAGCCAGGAGGCTGCAGGAAACACACAACAGAACTTCAAAATAAAAGTCTAGACCGAAGTATGGAGGGTATTAACAGGTGAGAGACAGGTGAGACACAGGTGAGAGACAGGTGAGAGACAGGTGAGAGACAGGTGAGAGATAAGTGTGAGACAGGTGAGAGACAGGTGAGAGACAGGTGAGAGATAAGTGTGAGACAGGTGAGAGACAGGTGAGAGACAGGTGAGAGACAGGTGAGAGACAGGTGAGAGACAGGTGAGAGACAGGTGAGAGATAAGTGTGTGAGACAGGTGAGAGACAGGTGAGAGATAAGTGTGAGACAGGTGAGAGACAGGTGAGAGACAGGTGAGAGATAAGTGTGAGAGACAGGTGAGAGACAGGTGAGAGACAGGTGAGAGATAAGTGTGTGAGACAGGTGAGAGACAGGTGAGAGACAGGTGAGAGACAGGTGAGAGATAAGTGTGTGAGACAGGTGAGAGACAGGTGAGAGATAAGTGTGAGAGACAGGTGAGAGACAGGTGAGAGACAGGTGAGAGATAAGTGTGTGAGACAGGTGAGAGACAGGTGAGAGACAGGTGAGAGACAGGTGAGAGATAAGTGTGAGAGACAGGTGAGAGACAGGTGAGAGACAGGTGAGAGATAAGTGTGTGAGACAGGTGAGAGACAGGTGAGAGACAGGTGAGAGATAAGTGTGTGAGACAGGTGAGAGACAGGTGAGAGACAGGTGAGAGACAGGTGAGAGACAGGTGAGAGATAAGTGTGTGAGACAGGTGAGAGACAGGTGAGAGACAGGTGAGAGACAGGTGAGAGATAAGTGTGAGACAGGTGAGAGACAGGTGAGAGACAGGTGAGAGATAAGTGTGAGACAGGTGAGAGACAGGTGAGAGACAGGTGAGAGACAGGTGAGAGATAAGTGTGAGACAGGTGAGAGACAGGTGAGAGACAGGTGAGAGATAAGTGTGAGAGACAGGTGAGAGACAGGTGAGAGACAGGTGAGAGAGACAGGTGAGAGACAGGTGGAGAGACAGGTGAGAGTACAGTGTGATAGATGAGTGTGATGAGGAACAGGTGAGAGAGACAAGGGTGAGAGACCGGTGTGAGAGATAAGTGGTGAGACAGGTGAGAGACAGGTGAGGAGGACAGGTGAGAGATCAGATGTGAGAGATAGTGTGAGGACAGGTGCAGGTGAGAGACAGGTGAGAGACAGGTGAGAGATAAGTGTGAGAGACAGGTGAGAGACAGTGGAGAGGACAGGTGGAGAGTACTGAAGGTAGAGAGACACAGTGTGAGAGACAGGTGAGAGGACAGGTGAGAGATTAAAGTGTGTGACCGTGAGAGACAGGTGAGAGACAGGTGAGAGATAAGTGTGTGAGACAGTGGTGAGAGACAGGTGAGAGACAGGTGAGAGATACAGTGTGAGAGATAAGTGTGATGAGGACAGGTGAGAGACAGGTGAGAGACAGGTGAGAGATAAGTGTGAGACCTGAGAAGGTGAAGACAGGTGAGAGACAGGTGGAGAGACAGGTGAGAGATAAGTGGTGAGACAGGTGAGAGACAGGTGAGAGGACAGGTGAGAGATAAAGTGTGAGAGACAGGTGAGAGGACAGGTGAGAGACAGGTGAGAGATAAGTGTGAGACAGGTGAGAGACAGGTGAGAGACATGTGAGAGATAAGTGTGTGAGACAGGTGAGAGACAGGTGAGAGATAAGTGTGTGAAGGACAGGGTGAGAGACAGGTGAGAGACAGGTGAGAGATAAGTGTGAGACAGGTGAGGAAGAGACAGGTGGAGACGGTGAGAGATAAGTGTGAGAGCTAGTGTTGAGAGACAGGTGAGAGGACAGGTGAGGACAGGAGGGGACAGGTGAGGACAGGTGAGAGAGAGACAGGTGAGAGACAGGTGAGAGATAAGGTGTTGAGAGACAAGGTGAGGAGGACAGGTGAGAGACAGGTGAGAGGACAGGTGAGAGACAGGTGAGAAGGACAGGTGAGAGATAAGTGTGAGACAGGTGAGAGACAGGTGAGAGACAGGTGAGAGATAAGTGTGTGAGACAGGTGAGAGACAGGTGAGAGACAGGTGAGAGATAAGTGTGAGACAGGTGAGAGACAGGTGAGAGACAGGGTGAGAGACAGGTGAGAGACAGGTGAGAGTTAAGTGTGAGACAGGTGAGAGACAGGTGAGAGACAGGTGAGAGATAAGTGTGAGACAGGTGAGAGATAAGTGTGAGACAGGTGAGAGACAGGTGAGAGACAGGTGAGAGACTAAGTGTGAGACAGGTGAGAGACTGTGAGACAGGTGAGAGACTATGAGACAGGTGAGAGACTATGAGACAGGTGAGACACTATGAGACAGGTGAGAGACTGTGAGACAGGTGAGAGACTATGAGACAGGTGAGAGACTATGAGACAGGTGAGAGACAGGTGAGAGACAGGTGAGAGACAGGTGAGAGATAAGTGTGAGACAGGTGAGAGACTGTGAGACAGGTGAGACACTGTGAGACAGGTGAGAGACAGGTGAGAGACTGTGAGACAGGTGAGAGACAGGTGAGAGACAGGTGAGAGACAGGTGAGAGATAAGTGTGAGACAGGTGAGAGATAAGTGTGAGACAGGTGAGACACTGTGAGACAGGTGAGAGACAGGTGAGAGATAAGTGTGAGACAGGTGAGAGACAGGTGAGAGACAGGTGAGAGACAGGTGAGAGATAAGTGTGAGACAGGTGAGAGATAAGTGTGAGACAGGTGAGACACAGGTGAGAGACAGGTGAGAGACAGGTGAGAGATAAGTGTGACACAGGTGAGAGACAGGTGAGAGACAAGTGAGAGACAGGTGTGAGACAGGTGTGAGACAGGTGTGAGACAGGTGAGAGATAGGTGAGAGACAGGTGAGAGACAGGTGAGAGATAGGTGTGAGACAGGTGTGAGACAGGTGAGAGATAGGTGAGAGACAGGTGTGAGACAGGTGTGAGACAGGTGAGAGATAGGTGAGAGATAGGTGAGAGACAGGTGAGAGACAGGTGAGAGATAGGTGAGAGACAGGTGAGAGACAGGTGAGAGACAGGTGTGAGACAGGTGAGAGACAGGTGTGAGACAGGTGAGAGATAGGTGAGAGACAGGTGTGAGACAGGTGAGAGACAAGTGAGAGACAGGTGAGAGACAGGTGTGAGACAGGTGAGAGACAGGTGAGAGACAGGTGAGAGACAGGTGAGAGATAAGTGTGAGACAGGTGAGACAGATGAGAGACAGGTGTGAGACAGGTGAGAGATAGGTGAGAGACAGGTGTGAGACAGGTGAGAGACAAGTGAGAGACAGGTGAGAGACAGGTGTGAGACAGGTGAGAGACAGGTGAGAGACAGGTGAGAGATAAGTGTGAGACAGGTGAGAGACAGGTGAGAGACAGGTGAGAGACAGGTGAGAGACAGGTGAGAGATAAGTGTGAGACAGGTGAGAGACAGGTGAGTGTGAGACAGATGAGAGAGACAGGTGAGAGAGACAGGTGAGTGTGAGACAGGTGCGAGAGACAGTTGAGAGTAAGACAGGTCTGAGAGACAGGTGAGTGTGAGACAGATGTGAGAGACAGGTGAGAGAGACAGGTGAATGTGAGACAGGTGAGAGAGACAGTTGAGAGTAAGACAGGTCTGAGACAGGTAAGTGTGAGACAGGTGTTACCTGAGTGGCAGGATGGCGAGCAGCACTGCCTTCTCATGGACGTGCCATCCGAACAGGAAGGATCCCAGACTGCAGAGCAGGAGGCAGCGCAGGAAGCTCTGAGCGCTGCGGGGACGATGCCAGAGAGACACCAGCGCCGGCTGGGGGAGGGGGGGGAGAGGGGGGGAGAGGGGGGGAGAGGGGGGGAGAGAAAAGTCGAAATTCAGAGAAAACTTTGTTTGATTTTTTTTTTATCTGACCGAAAGTGAAATGATTTTGTTTGTTATGAGTTCTGAACAAAAAAAGACTTATTCTGAGAATTATTTTCACAGAACTCAAAACTAAATTTCACATTTGGTCAGACCTCTCACAAAAATGACACAAGTGGGTTTTTCGTTTTATATAAACAGGGGTGCACATAACTGGTACGCAGGTACGCATGGGCGGCAACAATCTGAAATGCGTACCGTCACTTGTGTCACGAAGCGCATTTGCGTACCGACGTACTTGTGAAGCTTTTCCAGAAGGCGGTTAGATCACCGGACGACAGAGAGGGTCTCCATGTGCACAGACGGGGCTGCTGTTAACGTCGGTCTGTACAACGGAATTGTGCCAAAACTACGCCAACCGGTTGCGGAGGGGGACTCCCCCCCCTTCACTGGAGAACTGTGCTAAAACAGCTGATCACAATGCTCACGCTCTGTGGTCACGAAGTACTCCACTAGCCCCCCCCCCGTTGACGTTGGCGATACAGAGGGCTTCATCACATAACTTTGAGTGGAGCCAGAAGTTGGAGTACCAAACACTGACTCCACACTGAGAAAGTTATGTGCACCCCTGGATATAAACATGTGAGACTCACCAGGATGGAGAGCACGGTGCACAGCAGGGTGACGGGGGGGGTGACGGAGGGCAGGACCGTGTGCTGGAACTCCTGAACGAGCCCCCCCGTCATGGACGCTTTAGGAAGCTCCGCCTCCTGCAGCAGCTGCAGACGAACACCTGGACAGGTAGATTCAGGATTTACATCATAAGCAGTTCATATTCTCTGTTCAGAGCATGCTTTGGGTCCCAGATCCAAGTCATGTTCTGAACATTATACAGGGAGTCATGAGTGTTTCTCACCCAGCAGGGTCAGGGTCTTGTCCAGTCCGTTGTACAGCGCCCAGACGTTCGGGGCCCAGTAGGCGTGGCAGAGGCCCCTCTTAAAGGGGAAGAGCCGGGACAACACCTGAGGGAGCTGACCCTGCAGAGGACCAGGAACAGCTGTTAACCAATCATCTTCTTCCTGTTTAAAGGTCTCCTATTACGCAAAAGTCACTTTCTGATGTCTTCTCTACATCAATGTGTCCCCGGTGTGTCAGGAGACTCACAAAGTGTCAGGAAATAAACCCCTCTCTCTTTTCCTCCGTACCCACCTCTCTAAAAACGGGGAACAACGGAGCTGATCCAGATTTGCTGCGTCATGACCACATGACTCAAATGTGGGCGGGCTTTAAACCCACGGGCCAATCAGAAACGTTGCTGTCAGAAACAATGAGACGTGTTCTGGAAGTAATATGGTCTGTGTTTACATTAGCATGCTAACACTCAGAGCTAACCTGTACTGGAGAGAGTCTGTGTGAAGAAGCAGGAAATCAAAAGGAAGTCACCTTGTGGTAAACCTGAGAGAGAGAAAGAGTTTGAGCTCCATACTGTTTCAGAGAGAATCCTTCATGTGGTTTGGAACATGATATGGAGTTTCATCACGGCTGCATTTAGCTGAGTTTCTGCTGGGAGAGTTCTCCTGATGAGATCTACTCTCTCTCTAAAGCTACTGACCCAGAGTCAGCTCTTTAGTAACAGCTGGAAGAGAGGGGGGGGGGGGCTACAAGGATCTGTTTGGGGTTTGGAGCAGGACACTTCAGAGACATGTCTTTAGTAACAGCTGGGAGAGAGGGGGGGGGGGCTACAAGGATCTGTTTGGGGTTTGGAGCAGGACACTTCAGAGACATGTTTGTATATATCTGAGACTTTAATATATGCCTAAAATAGTATAATAGGAGACCTTTAAAGCTGGTGTGTGTGATAAAGTGTTGGATAAAGGCTCACCATGAGGATGAAGGGTCCGAACGACAGGAAGCAGACGGACAGCACGATGCCGCCCAGCGCCGCCAGGCGGAGAAAACTGAAACTCCTCCATCGAACAGAACCGTCTGAAAACACAGAAAAACATCAACAATAATTCCTGCCTCGTGGAAAGCATTTTAAAAGTCTCCTATGATACTGTTTCTCATCAATATATCACAGGTCTCAGATATATCCAGAGCCTGTCTCTGATTGGCTGAAACACCAAACAGATCATTCCAGCATTACCCATAATCCCCTCTGTTTCAGCCCTGTTTCCAAAGTGCTGATTCACTGGCCATTTCTCAATCGCGAGGATGCTGGCTTGGTAGCACAGCCGAGCCGAGCATCTTGCTTCAGAAGCGAGGCAAGAATCCTTCCTGGCATTCGGAAAACGAAGAGTGGAACAGGCTAGCAAGTGTGCAGGTGTGCGTCATATGAGAGGCCCCGCCTCTTACATCTTCCGCCACAGATTTGGGGAAATTGGTCCATGCACAAAGCATTGTGGGGATTTTAAGGACGCGAAGTCTACCCATGTGCAGCCTCGAAATTTCCCCCAAACCAAGGACGCGGCCTCGGTGGAATTCCAAGTATGCTGGAGATTGGAACAGTCCTTCGGCGGCACTCGATGACGTAGCATCCTTGAAATATTGGCTTGGAAGCCAATATCCTCGCGATTGAGAAACGGCCACTGTCTGTTACTTTAGATGAAAATAAGGAGCCCCTCCCCACGCCCCTCTGAGAGAGATTTGGTTGCAAAGAACTCAATGGTGCTCTAGGAGGAGATTCAGGATAAGGGGGGGGGGGGGGGGGGGGGGGTTACCTTGGTTGTCCTGGGTGAAGCAGTATGATTAAAGGTGTGTTCAGGTACCCGAGTTGTCCTGGGTGAAGCAGTGTGATTAAAGGTGTGTTCAGGTACCCGAGTTGTCCTGGGTGAAGCAGTGTGATTAAAGGTGTGTTCAGGTACCTGAGTTGCTCTGGGTGAACCAGTGTGATTAAAGGTGTGTTCAGGTACCTGAGTTGTCCTGGGTGAACCAGTGTGATTAAAGGTGTGTTCAGGTACCTGAGTTGTCCTGGGTGAAGCAGTGTGATTAAAGGTGTGTTCAGGTACCTGAGTTGCTCTGGGTGAAGCAGTATGATTAAAGGTGTGTTCAGGTACCTGAGTTGTCCTGGGTGAAGCAGTGTGATTAAAGGTGTGTTCAGGTACCTGAGTTGTCCTGGGTGAAGCAGTATGATTAAAGGTGTGTTCAGGTACCTGAGTTGCTCTGGGTGAAGCAGTATGATTAAAGGTGTGTTCAGGTACCTGAGTTGTCCTGGGTGAAGCAGTGTGATTAAAGGTGTGTTCAGGTACCTGAGTTGTCCTGGGTGAAGCAGTATGATTAAAGGTGTGTTCAGGTACCTGAGTTGTCCTGGGTGAAGCAGTGTGATTAAAGGTATGTTCAGGTACCTGAGTTGTCCTGGGTGAAGCAGTAGCTCCTCAGCAGGTAGACTCCGTACGCCGGGGCCACGTACAGGAAGATGTGCTTCAGGTTCAGCAGCACAGCGAACAGCAGCGCCCCCTGCAGGTGGAGAGACTGCAGCACAGATAACAGTGAGGACGTTTAATCAACTTTGTGATATCAGAACCTTTCAAAATAAGAGTTTAATGAGCTTTCTGACATCAGACCCTTTCAAAATAAGACTTTAATCAACTTTCTGACATCAGACCCTTTCAAAATAAGACTTTATATCAGACCCTTTCAAAATAAGACTTTAAATCAACTTTGTGACATCAGACCCTTTCAAAATAAGACGTTAAATCAACTTTCTGACATCAGACCCTTTCAAAATAAAAGTGTAATCAACTTTCTGACATCAGACCCTTTCAAAATAAAAGTTTAATCAACTTTCTGACATCAGACCCTTTCAAAATAAGACTATAGAACACCAGAAACCTGATGAAATGTAATGAGCTGTTTTCATCTGACCCTTTCAAAATAAGAGCATGTACCTGCATGTGTTTTGCCACGGACAGCAGCAGGACTCCGAACAGGAAGCCGTTATACTGGAAGTGAATATCTGAGGGGATGTGAAGGAGGTGTTAACACATTGATCATGAAGTGGAGCAGGGTGTCCAAACCTTTTTCACCGAGGGTCACATACAGACAAACATACGAAGGTCTGGGCCGCTCACTAGAGGTTTATCGCCTCATAAGTTAGAAAAATCTATCAACTTTAGGTCAATGATGGTTGATATTGATAACCCTAACCCTGAGTTTTCTGTTTGTAGGATACGGTCGACGATGAGGAGGCCGAAGTTCCAGAGCAGCAGGACGGCCAGGACGAAGGACGGCCGGTTCAGAACGTCCCGCGATCCTTTCTGCTCCTGAACGCACCGGCAACACCTGCAGGAGGAGAGAGCCAATCAGCATTGAGCTCCTGGAAACACTGATTTATTATGAGTTTCTATCCATTCATTTCTTGGATTGTTAATATCTCTATTGCAATCCCTCTTGTGGGGGGGGGGGGGGGTGTGTGTGTGTGTGGTGTGTGTGTGTGTGTGTGTGTGTGTGTGTGTGTGTGTGTGTGTGTGTGTGTGTGTGTGTGTGTGTGTGTGTGTGTGTGTGTGTCTCACTCTCTAACAGCGTAGAGGAACAGCAGGTCGGTGCAGATGACGGTGAGTCTCTGGTAGAGCACGGCCTCAGGGCTGCTGTAGTTCAGGTTGCTCAGCAGCAGCATGGGGGGGTGCAGCAGCCGAGCGCCCTGAGACAGAGCCAGCTCGAACCAGGCGAACAGCGGGGGGTAATCCAGGGTCCACTCCGAAGAGTTCTGGAGACACCCCCAAAGAGACCCAACAGTTCATGGAATAAAAAAATAAAAAATGTATTGTACTATCATACCGTTTCTCATCAATATATCACAGGTCTCAGATATATCCAGAGCCTGTCTCTGATTGGCTGAAACACCAAACAGATCATTGCAGCATTACCCATAATCCCCTCTGTTTCAGCCCTGTTTCCAAAGTGCTGATTCTCTGTCTGTTACTTTAGATGAAAATAAGGAGCCCCTCCCCACGCCCCTCTGAGAGAGATTTGGTTACAAAGAACCCAATGGTGCTCTAGGAGGAGATTCAGGTGATAAGGTGGGGGGGGGGGGGGGGGGGGGGTTACCTTGGTTGGTGATTGGCTAATGGTTATACAAGACAAAACATCGTTATGACATCATAAAGTGGCCAAAATCTGATCAGCTCATTTTCAGACAGGTTTTTATAAAAATGGATCAAAAAGAGAGAGAATCTTTGTTCCTGAAACTCAGAGTCTCTTTCCACAGAGGGGACACATGTTGATGAAGAAGAGACATGAAGAAGAGGGGACACATGTTGATGAAGAAGAGACATGAAGAAGAGGGGATACATGTTGATGAAGAAGAGACATGAAGAAGAGGGGACACATGTTGATGTAGAAGAGACATGAAGAAGAGGGGACACATGTTGATGAAGAAGAGACATGAAGAAGAGGGGATACATGTTGATGAAGAAGAGACATGAAGAAGAGGGGACACATGTTGATGCAGAAGAGACATGAAGAAGAGGGGACACATGTTGATGAAGAAGAGACATGAAGAAGAGGGGACACATGTTGATGAAGAAGAGACATGGAGAAGAGGGGACACATGTTGATGAAGAAGAGACATGGAGAAGAGGGGACACATGTTGATGAAGAAGAGACATGAAGAAGAGGGGACACATGTTGATGAAGAAGAGACATGAAGAAGAGGGGACACATGTTGATGAAGAAGAGACATGAAGAAGAAAGGTAAGAGGGGACACATGTTGATGAAGAAGAGACATGAGGAAGAGGGGACACATGTTGATGTAGAAGAGACATGAGGAAGAGGGGACACATGTTGATGAAGAAGAGACATGAAGAAGAGGGGACACATGTTGATGAAGAAGAGACATGAGGAAGAGGGGACACATGTTGATGAAGAAGAGACATGAGGAAGAGGGGACACATGTTGATGAAGAAGAGACATGGAGAAGAGGGGACACATGTTGATGAAGAAGAGACATGGAGAAGAGGGGACACATGGTGATGAAGAAGAGACATGAAGAAGAGGGGACACATGTTGATGAAGAAGAGACATGAGGAAGAGGGGACACATGTTGATGAAGAAGAAGAGACATTGAGGAAGAGGGGACACATGTTGATGAAGAAGAGACATGGAGAAGAGGGGACACATGTTGATGAAGAAGAGACATGGAGAGAGGGGACACATGTTGATGAAGAAGAGACATGAGGAAGAGGGGACACATGTTGATGTAGAAGAGACATGAGGAAGAGGGGACACATGTTGATGAAGAAGAGACATGGAGAAGAGGGGACACATGTTGATGAAGAAGAGACATGGAGAAGAGGGGACACATGTTGATGAAGAAGAGACATGAAGAAGAGGGGACACATGTTGATGAAGAAGAGACATGAGGAAGAGGGGACACATGTTGATGTAGAAGAGACATGAGGAAGAGGGGACACATGTTGATGAAGAAGAGACATGAAGAAGAGGGGACACATGTTGATGAAGAAGAGACATGAGGAAGAGGGGACACATGTTGATGTAGAAGAGACATGAGGAAGAGGGGACACATGTTGATGAAGAAGAGACATGAAGAAGAGGGGACACATGTTGATGAAGAAGAGACATGAGGAAGAGGGGACACATGTTGATGAAGAAGAGACATGAAGAAGAGGGGACACATGTTGATGAAGAAGAGACATGGAGAAGAGGGGACACATGTTGATGAAGAAGAGACATGGAGAAGAGGGGACACATGTTGATGAAGAAGAGACATGAAGAAGAGGGGACACATGTTGATGAAGAAGAGACATGAAGAAGAGGGGACACATGTTGATGAAGAAGAGACATGGAGAAGAGGGGACACATGTTGATGAAGAAGAGACATGAAGAAGAGGGGACACATGTTGATGAAGAAGAGACATGGAGAAGAGGGGACACATGTTGATGAAGAAGAGACATGAAGAAGAGGGGACACATGTTGATGTAGAAGAGACATGGAGAAGAGGGGACACATGTTGATGAAGAAGAGACATGAAGAAGAGGGGACACATGTTGATGTAGAAGAGACATGAAGAAGAGGGGACACATGTTGATGTAGAAGAGACATGAAGAAGAGGGGACACATGTTGAAGTAGAAGAGACATGAAGAAGAGGGGACACGTGTTGATGTAGAAAAGACATGAAGAAGAGGGGACACATGTTGATGAAGAAGAGACATGAAGAAGAGGGGACACATGTTGAAGTAGAAGAGACATGAGGAAGAGGGGACACATGTTGATGAAGAAGAGACATGAGGAAGAGGGGACCTTTCAAAGTGGTCCAGATGTATGGAGTGTTTCTGACCTCGTGGTACCATCGGTCCAGCGGCAGACTGTGAGTGATGGCGAGCCAGTTCCTGTGCACCTCGAAGTCTGTGGAGTGACTGAAGCAAACACAGAGCGTCAGAACAAGCTGCTCTCTCTTCAAGGCATTGTACAATGACAATTAAAAAGACTAGAAATAAACAAGAAAGTAGAAAATATACATGTTGAATTTACAAATTAACAAAAACAACAATTACAAAATTAATATGAATTTTAGACTGCTCTTTTTTAAATGTCAGATTTCTGGTAAAAAAAAGTCAAACTTCTGGCTTAAGAATGTATTTTGTGATAATTATAATACAAAAGAATAACATTCTCAAATCTGGATATGGGCAATACTGGAGAATTACACATGTTGATACTTTAAGTTTATTTTAATAAATAGATAGAATGGGAGGGAGGGATGAAACCCTCTGTAATGGTCTCACATGCAGAGCACACAGCACACACAGTGACATGTGTTCTCTGCTGTTAACCCATCCTAGTACCAGGAGTCTAGTTAGTACCAGGAGTCTAGTTAGTACCAGGAGTCTAGTACCAGGAGTCTAGTACCAGGAGTCTAGTTAGTACCAGGAGTCTGGTACCAGGAGTCTGGTACCAGGAGTCTAGTTAGTACCAGGAGTCTGGTACGAGGAGTCTAGTGCCGGGAGTCTAGTGCCGGGAGTCTAGTGCCGGGAGTCTAGCGCCAGGAGTCTAGCACTAGGAGTCTAGCACTAGGAGTCTAGCACTAGAAGTCTAGTACCAGGAGTCTAGTTAGTACCAGGAGTCTAGTACGAGGAGTCTAGTACCAGGAGTCTGGTGCCAGGAGTCTAGTGCCAGGAGTCTAGCACTAGGAGTCTAGCACCAGGAGTCAAGTCATAATGTCCGGTGCCTTGCTCAAGGGCACCACGGCAGGGCAGGAGGTGAACTGGGACCTCTCCAAGTACCAGTCCACACTCCATATTTAGGTCTGGTCGGGGACTTGAACCAGCAACCTTACGGCTCACAGTCCAAGCCCCTACTGACTGAGACACTGCCGGACTGCAAGTACTTTTCTACTTGTCATTGGGTATGTTTCAGTGTGGTTTTGTTACTTTTACCCAAGTAAAGAATCTGAGTACTTCTTCCACCTCTGCTTATAATTAATAATGACTTTATAATCGTACAACTCAAACGTTGTTGTTGGTGTGAAACAGCGCCATCTTGCGGCCGTTTGGCTGCATTACACTTTATATATTTCTATATGACACGTCGAGTTAATGTCAACAATCATTACTTCATATAAAGTCTAATTAAACTAACGGTTAAACACATAATGCACAAACCACTTCTCTAACATCAGGATTTAATCCAAAGTGTATTTTCTTGTTTTGATCTGTTTTTAGCTTCTCGGTGTGTTAGCATTATGCTAGCAGTTCTCGCGCTATCTTCTAATTTCTCCTCCTTTGCATTAACGCAGTAGTGCTGAGACTTCTGCAGGAACACGAACAGGTTGACATTGAAGTGTCTGAACTCACTATGCGCTGATAAACAGACATTTGAAGAGAGAAACTCCCAAAGATAGAGCTGGGAACCAGGAGCTGTCCGCCGCCGCCATGACACCTCCGACGGGATTCAACGGGAACAACTTTATTTACAAACTCCGTGACGGACACTGTGTGTAGACTAAACAGATTTTTTTATTTTATATAAAATATATAATAATACTGATAATATAAAACGCACCAGCTGCTGTATGGAAACTTTATCGTTATTTTTGTTTTATTATTTTATATTTTTGAAGGGCAGTAATCATTGAGATGCATTCAAGGTCGACTCGTAAAGTCAGGAATATTTGCCTTCTCTTGTGGAATAAAATCAGGATCCGGTTTAATACAATCTATGTTTTAATACAATCTATGTTTTAATAAAGTGGTTTAATACAATCTATGGTTTAATACAGTTGTTTAATACAGTGGTTAAATACAGTCTATGTTTTAATACAATCTATGTTTTAATACAGTGGTTTAATACAGTCTATGGTTTAATACAATCTATGTTTTAATATGGTGGTTGAATACGGTGGTTTAATACAGTTTATGGTTTAATACGGTGGTTGAATACGATGGTTGAATACGGTGGTTGAATACAGTGGTTTAATACAGTCTATGGTTTAATACAGTGGTTTAATACGGTGGTTTAATACGGTGGTTTAATACGGTGGTTTAATACGGTGGTTTAATACAGTGGTTTAATGCAAAGTGGTTTAATACAGTGGTTTAATACAGTGGTTTAATACAGTGGTTTAATACGGTGGTTTAATACAGTGGTTTAAGACAGTGGTTTAATACAGTGGTTTAATGCAAAGTGGTTTAATACAGTGGTTTAATACAGTGGTTTAATACGGTGGTTTAAGACAGTGGTTTAATACAGTGGTTTAATACAGTGGTTTAAGACAGTGGTTTAATACAGTGGTTTAATGCAAAGTGGTTTAATACAGTGGTTTAATACAGTGGTTTAATACGGTGGTTTAATACGGTGGTTTAATACGGTGGTTTAATACAGTGGTTTAATACAGTGGTTTAATACAGTGGTTTAATGCAAAGTGGTTTAATACAGTGGTTTAATACAGTGGTTTAATACAGTGGTTTAATGCAAAGTGGTTTAATACAGTTGTTTAATACAGTGCTTTAATACAGTTGTTTAATACAGTGGGTTAATACAGTGGTTTAATACAGTGGTTTAATACGGTGGTTTAATACAGTCTATGGTTTAATACAGTGGTTTAATACAGTGGTTTAATACAGTGGTTTAATACAGTCTATGGTTTAATACAGTGGTTTAATACAGTGGTTTAATACAGTAGTTTAATACAGTCTATGGTTTAATACAGTGGTTTAATACGGTGGTTTAATACAGTCTATGGTTTAATACAGTGGTTTAATACAGTCTATGGTTTAATACAGTGGTTTAATACAGTGGTTTAATACAGTAGTTTAATACAGTCTATGGTTTAATACAGTGGTTTAATACGGTGGTTTAATACAGTCTATGGTTTAATACAGTGGTTTAATACAGTCTATGGTTTAATACAGTGGTTTAATACGGTGGTTTAATACGGTGGTTTAATACAGTGGTTTAATACAGTGGTTTAATTCAGTGGTTTAATACAGTGGTTTAATACGGTGGTTTAAGACAGTGGTTTAATACAGTAGTTTAATACAGTCTATGGTTTAATACAGTGGTTTAATACAGTGGTTTAATACAGTGGTTTAATACAGTAGTTTAATACAGTCTATGGTTTAATACAGTGGTTTAATACGGTGGTTTAATACAGTCTATGGTTTAATACAGTGGTTTAATACAGTCTATGGTTTAATACAGTGGTTTAATACAGTGCTTTAATACAGTAGTTTAATACAGTCTATGGTTTAATACAGTGGTTTAATACGGTGGTGTAATACAGTCTATGGTTTAATACAGTGGTTTACAGTCTATGGTTTAATACAGTGGTTTAATACGGTGGTTTAATACGGTGGTTTAATACAGTGGTTTAATACAGTGGTTTAATTCAGTGGTTTAATACGGTGGTTTAATACGGTGGTTTAATACAGTGGTTTAATACAGTGGTTTAATACAGTGGTTTAATACAGTGGTTTAATACGGTGGTTTAAGACAGTGGTTTAATACAGTGGTTTAATACAGTGGTTTAAGACAGTGGTTTAATACAGTGGTTTAATGCAAAGTGGTTTAATACAGTGGTTTAATACGGTGGTTTAATACGGTGGTTTAATACGGTGGTTTAATACAGTGGTTTAATACAGTGGTTTAATGCAAAGTGGTTTAATACAGTTGTTTAATACAGTGCTTTAATACAGTTGTTTAATACAGTGGGTTAATACAGTGGTTTAATACAGTGGTTTAATACGGTGGTTTAATACAGTCTATGGTTTAATACAGTGGTTTAATACAGTGGTTTAATACAGTAGTTTAATACAGTCTATGGTTTAATACAGTGGTTTAATACGGTGGTTTAAGACAGTGGTTTAATACAGTGGTTTAATACAGTGGTTTAAGACAGTGGTTTAATACAGTGGTTTAATGCAAAGTGGTTTAATACAGTGGTTTAATACAGTGGTTTAATACGGTGGTTTAATACGGTGGTTTAATACGGTGGTTTAATACAGTGGTTTAATGCAAAGTGGTTTAATACAGTGGTTTAATACAGTGGTTTAATACGGTGGTTTAATACGGTGGTTTAATACAGTGGTTTAATACAGTGGTTTAATACGGTGGTTTAATACAGTCTATGGTTTAATACAGTGGTTTAATACAGTGGTTTAATACAGTGGTTTAATACAGTCTATGGTTTAATACAGTGGTTAATACAGTGGTTTAATACAGTAGTTTAATACAGTCTATGGTTTAATACAGTGGTTTAATACGGTGGTTTAATACAGTCTATGGTTTAATACAGTGGTTTAATACAGTCTATGGTTTAATACAGTGGTTTAATACAGTGGTTTAATACAGTAGTTTAATACAGTCTATGGTTTAATACAGTGGTTTAATACGGTGGTTTAATACAGTCTATGGTTTAATACAGTGGTTTAATACAGTCTATGGTTTAATACAGTGGTTTAATACGGTGGTTTAATACGGTGGTTTAATACAGTGGTTTAATACAGTGGTTTAATTCAGTGGTTTAATACAGTGGTTTAATACGGTGGTTTAAGACAGTGGTTTAATACAGTAGTTTAATACAGTCTATGGTTTAATACAGTGGTTTAATACAGTGGTTTAATACAGTGGTTTAATACAGTAGTTTAATACAGTCTATGGTTTAATACAGTGGTTTAATACGGTGGTTTAATACAGTCTATGGTTTAATACAGTGGTTTAATACAGTCTATGGTTTAATACAGTGGTTTAATACAGTGCTTTAATACAGTAGTTTAATACAGTCTATGGTTTAATACAGTGGTTTAATACGGTGGTGTAATACAGTCTATGGTTTAATACAGTGGTTTACAGTCTATGGTTTAATACAGTGGTTTAATACGGTGGTTTAATACGGTGGTTTAATACAGTGGTTTAATACAGTGGTTTAATTCAGTGGTTTAATACGGTGGTTTAATACGGTGGTTTAATACAGTGGTTTAATACAGTGGTTTAATACAGTGGTTTAATACAGTGGTTTAATACGGTGGTTTAAGACAGTGGTTTAATACAGTGGTTTAATACAGTGGTTTAAGACAGTGGTTTAATACAGTGGTTTAATGCAAAGTGGTTTAATACAGTGGTTTAATACGGTGGTTTAATACGGTGGTTTAATACGGTGGTTTAATACAGTGGTTTAATACAGTGGTTTAATGCAAAGTGGTTTAATACAGTTGTTTAATACAGTGCTTTAATACAGTTGTTTAATACAGTGGGTTAATACAGTGGTTTAATACAGTGGTTTAATACGGTGGTTTAATACAGTCTATGGTTTAATACAGTGGTTTAATACAGTGGTTTAATACAGTAGTTTAATACAGTCTATGGTTTAATACAGTGGTTTAATACGGTGGTTTAATACGGTGGTTTAATACAGTGGTTTAATACAGTGGTTTAATACAGTGGTTTAAGACAGTGGTTTAATACAGTGGTTTAATGCAAAGTGGTTTAATACAGTAGTTTAATACGGTGGTTTAATACGGTGGTTTAATACGGTGGTTTAATACAGTGGTTTAATACAGTGGTTTAATGCAAAGTGGTTTAATACAGTTGTTTAATACAGTGCTTTAATACAGTTGTTTAATACAGTGGGTTAATACAGTGGTTTAATACAGTGGTTTAATACGGTGGTTTAATACAGTCTATGGTTTAATACAGTGGTTTAATACAGTGGTTTAATACAGTGGTTTAATACAGTCTATGGTTTAATACAGTGGTTTAATACAGTGGTTTAATACAGTAGTTTAATACAGTCTATGGTTTAATACAGTGGTTTAATACGGTGGTTTAATACAGTCTATGGTTTAATACAGTGGTTTAATACAGTCTATGGTTTAATACAGTGGTTTAATACGGTGGTTTAATACGGTGGTTTAATACGGTGGTTTAATACAGTGGTTTAATACAAAGTGGTTTAATACAGTGGTTTAATACAGTGGTTTAATACGGTGGTTTAATACGGTGGTTTAATACAGTGGTTTAATACAGTGGTTTAATTCAGTGGTTTAATACAGTGGTTTAATACAGTGGTTTAATACAGTGGTTTAATACAGTGGTTAATACAGTGGTTTAATACAGTGGTTTAATACAGTGGTTTAATACAGTGGTTAATACAGTGGTTAATACAGTGGTTTAATACAGTGGTTTAAGACAGTGGTTTAATACAGTGGTTAATACAGTGGTTAATACAGTGGTTTAATACAGTGGTTTAAGACAGTGGTTTAATACAGTGGTTTAATACAGTGGTTAATAGAGTGGTTTAATACAGTGGTTTAATACAGTGGTGTAATACAGTGGTTAATACAGTGGTTTAATACAGTGGTTTAAGACAGTGGTTTAATACAGTGGTTTAATACAGTGGTTTAATACAGTGGTTTAATACAGTGGTTAATACAGTGGTTAATACAGTG